CAAAAAAGAAACCCCGAATAAAAAAGACCTAAAATACGCCTATCTATAAAAAAGCGCAAACGCCTGCTTGGAGAGTAGCACAATGGAACATTTTTCTGTAGGGCCAGTCCCTTTTTGTTCCAGTGTATGCATTTATAAAGGTAAAGTGATACACTAAGAGGCTTGTTTTAGCATGTATTATATTTTTTAAATTAAAACTAAAGGAATTACAAGACACAGATTAGAGCTCTATGGATACATGGCATTTCCAGGTCTATTGTGTATAAGTCTGATTAGGTTATATTTTGACACAGAGAACTCATTATAAATATTATTGATTGGTTGATTGATTGATTAATTGACTGATCTAATCATTCATTATTGAAGAAACTAGTCATGTCTACATGCCTTGCTTCGTCAGTGAAGTCTGCAAAAGTCTTCATGGCATCCAAGACTTCCTTGTCACCTGTATGATAATGCAGTTAAAGAAAGACCCAAGTCGGCACTATTGCATAATAAAAATACCTTATTGGCAGGTGTAAAGAAACAAACAAACAAAAGCACTGCATGAGCATTATCAAAAGAGAAAAGGAGATTCGGTGAAACACTGTTTTTTTGTTATTTCATTTTCAGAACGAATTTTTCGAACGATCTCCATAAGCTTGGTAGGCGTCCAAACCTCTCCTAAAAAATGTTGTTTTTTTTATTATGACTACGGCAGAGGGATGTCGTCCCGACTTCGGAGCTCAGCCAAAGGATATATACCACTACAGTACCCCCCCCCCTCCCAGAACTTAGGTCCGGTTGTTACACTTACACAATCCAAGGATTCCATAACGTCTTTGCACACTTCAAACACTTAAGGAGAAGGAGAATAATCCTTAGATCAGCTCCCACGCGCGTTCTGACAAGGCCGTTCTTCTAACGTAAGGCACTCCCACGCTCTGTTGGTTATGCAAAGGATAAAACAACGCATAACACATTTGCTATTGCATAAGTATATAGTTATTTAAAAATCTACATTGCAACTTACTTTTATGCCAGAATTTGACATGCCTGACTTTCTCAGTCAGATCTTACTTAGAAATCTGTTCCTAGTTTTTATTTTGTTAGTACTAATTTAAGTAAACATGCATCTAGAGACCTGCATTATCATTTGAATTTTCATCATAATCATAAATATTAATGTTATTCAAATAGCCAGCTTCAGACCATTAACTCCTACGTAAGGCTATATATTATATAACCCTGAGGTGTTTGTCACACGGCATTACGGATCAGCTACCGAAGGAGGCAGACGCACCCTACAAGAACAACTGTTACAGCGAGCTGCGCCCGCGTCCTTGCCAAGAAAGTGCCAACTGGAGCTAGTATGTTCATACCCTGTGGACAGATATAAACGGTATTAAAAGGTACGTTTCTACCTGTGGACAAATATAGACGGTTAAATTTGCAGTAAAGACAGGCATTTTCAAACTTTATTCCAGGCAATCGGGTCTATTTCATAACCAGATGTTAGGGTGCCGTTTTGGACTGTCAATTATTACATGTATGATGGTACATGTACATAGCTGTCAAACTAACCTGGCCATCAGAAAACTTTAAAAATCTTTCATTTGAATGTCTGCTTGGAGATTATGTGAGTTCTAAAGACAGTAAGGGTGGTGTCATTGAGATTTTCTACATTATTACATTATTCATAATGTGTGGTCTAAGAAAAAGCGCACATAAGGGTCTAAGAAAAATCGTCCTATGTCTGTTTTAATGAAATGACAGAAAATAACAGATGATGACTAAAGATCCTTTTAAAGAAAAACGTTTCTCTACTCTTCTGCTCATTTTCTGGCCTAATGGAGCTGCAAAAAGGGTCATAAAAGGAGAACAAAACATAAATATTCAAGCAGCAAGTCTCAGACAATTAACAGCTCCATATTTTAAATGTTATTCTCCCCATCACTTGTTATTGAATACTACATTGTCTAATTATAAAATATTTATCATCAAAATAAAAAAACGGCCATCATGCCAGCCTCTGACAATATGCTTCTCTTATAATAGCTGGTCAGGCACCATAGAATATTAATAAATTCTTACAAAAATGTTTACCACTCACTCGTAATGCATAGAACAAAGGAAAACGCATGTGTTGTTATATCATAATGGCAGGACCTGTTACAAATCATTGATATTTTACCGCACCCTGGATTTCTTGGTACTCGGACATTTTAAAGTAAAAAACTTCGCTTGAAAATGCTGGGAGGATTTTATTCTTTTCTCCTTTTTGAACCAAGCACCCCCCCCCCCCAATTAGATTACCCTTATTTCATGCTGGCTCTCCGGTTAAGTTACCGTTTTAATCTGAGGTCCAAGACTGCCCGGACATACACAGGAGCTTGCCGTTCTGTTTAGGTGGCAGGACAACATGGGAAGAAAGCTGCGACACGTGCTGATTTTCCTTCTCATCATCCTGAAGGAGCCCAACATGCCGGAAGCAGGTCCCTGCGGCTGTACATCACCATCATCACACTGCAGAAAGGGCCTCACCAGCATCCCTCAGTACCTCCCAAAATCCATCTCGGTATTGAATCTAGGAGAAAACAGTATTAAAGCCGTGACGCGGTCTGAGCTGTTACGGTATACCAATGTGAATACACTGTGCCTGGGTCATAACAAGATAAGAAAGATTGAAGATGGCGTACTTGGTAATCTGCCCCATCTAGAAATTTTGAACCTGGTTTTGAACCAGATAACTACCATCCCTCCTGGTACATTTGCTAATCTGCCAGAGCTACAATATTTATTCCTTCAAAGAAACCAGATAACTACCATCCATTCTGGTGCATTTGGAAATCTGCCCAAGCTATATAGGTTGTGCCTAGACAACAACCAGATAACTACCATCCATTCTGGTGCATTTGGAAATATGCCCGAGCTAAAAAGGTTGTCTCTCAGATTGAACCAGATAACTACAATCGATTCTGGTGCATTTACCAATCTGCCCAAGCTACAAGAGTTGCGCCTGGAAGACAACCAGATAGCTACCATCCCTTCTGGTACATTTGCAAATCTGCCCCAGCTACAAACGTTGGCCCTGGACCAAAACCAGATAACTACCATCCCTTCTGGTATATTTGCAAATCTGCCCAAGCTACGTACATTGAAACTGAAATACAACCAGATAACTACCGTCTATTCTGGCATATTTTCAAATCTGCCCCGGCTAAAAATCTTGGGGCTGTACAACAACCAGATAACTACCATCCCTTCTAGTGCATTTGCAAATCTTCCCTGGCTAGAATACTTGTTCCTGAACAACAACCAGATAACTACCATCCATTCTGGTGCATTTGCAAATCTGCCCAAGCTATATAGGTTGTGCCTAGACAACAACCAGATAACTACCATCCCTTCTGGTGCATTTAAAAATGTGTCACTTTTTGTTTCATTTAATTTTGTTTCATTTAATTTGAAACTTCAGAACAACAAGATGACGGCCATTCCCCTGTCAGTTTTCTGCTTGTTCCAATCTCATATCAGAATATACCTTCATCTTGACGGGAACCCCTGGCAGTGTGACTGTAGGATGATTCCCATCAGGCTGATTCCCCAAGTAAAAAACAGCATAACGTGCGCCCAACCCGGCAAAGTTCGGGGACAGAAGCTTGCAAATGTCGATCCAAAAGAATTGATATGTAAAGAGCCAACCATATCCCCACTAACTGTTGATAGCTGTTCTGCTGCAGTGTCAACACCTTTAGCTACAATCTCGGAAAGCAATACTAGCCCATCAGTCTTTAAAGCCACCGCTGTCTCAACAGTAAACCCCGCAGAAAACACAAGCAAAAAAAGTGCAACGCTAACTTCGCCCTATGAAATCACTTCAGACAAGCCAGAATCTGCTCCCAGTTCCCCCCAGCCGACCGCATCAACACGGATAGCTGATATCCACTTAATCTCACACAACTCTCACTATCACTGGTACTTTAAGGTCAATGCTGCCCCAATATCAGATCCCGCAGGCAAAACAAGAGCAACACTAACTCCGCCCCTTGCAATCACTCCAGACAAACCAGAATCTGTTCCCAGTTTCCCCCTACCTGTTCTCATTGGCTTAGCCTGTGGTTCAGTAGCTGGCATTGTCCTCATTGGCATGATTATTCTTACTGGGTGGTACAAGATAAAGAGCAGGCGTCCCCCTTTAGGGTTAAATCCCAATGTTGTTGGTGGTAACACAAACACAGCAGTTACTGTGTCGGTCAGTAATGATGATCATGAGGATACTGATAAACTAGGTGTTCAGAATGGGCAGGGCCAGGATAACATTCAATCTCTGAACGTTGGAAATCTATCCCGTAACCAAGTGCTAGCTTTCAAGCCAAATCCTATGTATGCAGGTACAGGTAACGCAGCAGTTTCTGTAATGGCCAGTGGTGATGATCACCAGTATGAAGACATTGACAAAGCGTGTATAAAGACAGGGCAGGGTCAGTCTCAGGCCATCACTAAACCCAACACAAGCACGGCCAGTGGTGATGATCACCAGTATGAAAATGTTGACAACACACGTGCTAAGACAAGACAGGGTCAGTCTCAGGCCATCACTGCATCCACCACAAACACCACAGCTACTGTAATGGCCAGTGGCGATGATCAGACAGGGCATTACCAATCTCAGTCTAATATTCAATCTCTGAAAGTTGGAAATTTGTCACATAACGAAGTGCTAGCTGTCTTACAGGCAAACCCAATGTATGTAGATGTGAAAACACCACCAAAGGACGACGCATCTACAGAGATAGCCAATAGTCATGATAATACAGGGCAGGGCCAGTCCCAGGCCGTGACTGAATCATTGGATGCTAGAAATCTATCTTATGGTACAGGGCAGACTGCCTCACAGCAGAATCCTATATACAAAGCTGTGACCCAGTCTCAGACCACAGCAAACACAGCTGTCGTAATGACCAGTGGTAATGTTCAGGCAGGGCAGGGTCAGTCTCAGATCATCACTAAATCCAACACAACCCCCAAAGCTACTGTAATGACAAGTGGTGATGATCAGACAGGGCAGGGTCAGTCTCAGGCCATCACTGAATCCCTCGATGCTAAAAATCTGTCTCATGTCACAGAGCCGACTGACTCGAAGGTAAATTCTGATTCAAAATTGGAATCACCATGATTCAATCCACATTTAAACTGTCGAAACGGCTGGACAACTTGAAGGAAGATTCTATGTACACAAAAATAAGAGCTTTTTCATTCCCACGGGGTGGTGCGACAGTCACTGTTTGTCTTAGACACAGTAAGTCAAAGACGTTGTCAATAATGATGTGGATATTTGTGTTAATGCCTGTGTGTGTAAATAAATGTGTAATGAATTTTCATGTACAACTGGACGTAATTCAGCCTTTGGCTGCAAAGTCCACGTTTTTTATGAATAAAACAGCATTTGATTTGATTTGATTGATTTGACGAGTGACAAAAATAACAATATTTAGAGATTGTACATAGGAAGAAGTTGAAGATGATTGATTTTGAGGATTCTGAAAAGTTCACTCAATTTTATAGACCATTGAGTGCTCTGTGGGAGAATGTTTAAATTTGATTCCTCGACACTTCAGAATCCGTAACTTTTATTGAGGATGATGTCATGGTTGTAATTTTCTAATATCAACATTGAATATTTGTTCTAACTTTAATGATTGAGAACAAGAACAAGGAAAAAGTGTTTTGTTATTCTGTGTAAAATGTACAATGTATAATTATGGACTATATACGTCTGGAACTCTAGTATCAAAGTAATGTACTGCAGAAAGTGTACAGATGTAAAGTTTCATTTTGAAGACATCAATGCTGAGTTTTTTTTAAATGAATGAGATTTTGCACCAGTGGTATTAGCTGTACTTTTTCATTTTGAATTTGAAGTATTGTAACACTTGTGTTTATAACTATTTCAGAATATGTAACTTTAATTATGTCATGGTTCTATTTTGAAAAGAAAATAGTTTTAATAGTTGTTTAACTTTGATAACTGCCCTACCAAGAACAGGGCTTTGTCATTTTGTGTAAAATATACAATGTATAATCTTGGGATGGAATATCAGGAACTCTTATCTATTTCAGAATCTGTAACTTTTATTTAGGATGATATCATGGTTGCATTTTTCTAAAATCAACTTACCAAGAACAAGGTAAGAGTGTTTTGTCATTCTGTGTAAAATATACAATGTAAAATCTGGACGATCTCAGAATGGAACTCTAGTAGCAGAGCAATGTACAACAGAAATTGTACAGATGTAAAGTTTCATTTTAAAGGCATCAATGCTGAGTCTGATTCAAAAAGAGTTGTAGTTTTTCATTTTGAAGTTGTAGTATCTTAAAACTATTTCAGAATGTGTAACTTTTTATTATTGCCGGTGTCATGGTTGTATTTTGCAATGTTTAACTTGAATGGTTGTTAAATGGTTGTTCCAACTTTGATTCTATGAATGATTGCTCTAAAAAGAACAGGAAAAGAGTGTTTTGTTGTTATGTGTTTACAGTACAGTATACAATGTATAATTATGGATGGCCTAAGTCTGGAACTCAAGTAGCAGAGTAATGTACATACACACTCAAACACACACACAGAGAAAGACACACACATACACACACACACACAAACACACACAAACACAAAATCGCTGCTAAAATAACGCATCTGGTGAAGGTGATAATCATATTGTTATACTAAGTATATACTAAGTTCTATGGGGAGATCTATGCTTACATTGGGTTTGTTACAATAACTATGTTTTACACAATTTTATGTTCACAGTGACAACATCAACCTGTTATTTATTAGTTTATTGTTTATAAGTACCTCTTTGCCTTTTTGAAAAAAAAACCCTGCTGGTGTGACGAGACAATTACTTGTGTGGTCAATGTGAAATCAGCTTACAAAACTATTTGCAAAGCAAACGTTCTTACTCAAACACATTCTCATATATGCTGACAGGAGTCTAAATCCCTCCTGATATAAAACTGCAGCATGATGTAACCCAACACCAGTTACCATGGTGAGAGATGGTCTGGTTGAAGTCATTGACCAGGTCAGCGATCAGTATTTGGAAGCGAAGAAGAAACTGAGCAAAAACAATATGTTTTCCTTAGGTAAACATATTATGTCTGCAAATCAGCAGAATCATATGCACTGTCAGTCTCTTGTCCAAAATGCTTAAAGTTCTGTCCCTATTTTCACAAAAATGCAAGGTTTGGTAAACATACCATGCACTATCCATAAAAACTATGAAATATTTTTTATTGTTTTGTTGTCTTTTAAATCATACTTTGCACAACCAACTTATGAAAAAACAAGGGTCATACAAATCCAATTTTTTGGTCTCTCAACGATCGTCCTCGTGGAAAAAGGGTCTTACCACAGTTGTTCAAGAATATCTGTAATCTACATTAGGGGTGGATACCTGTATAGAAAATTCAGGTCCAGGTCCGGGTCAGAGGATCAGGTCCAGGTCCGGACCTAAACCTGGACCTCATTATTGTACAAACTATATCATATTTTGGAGCGCGAAACAGGAGTACAGGTCACATAGCAACAGAAAGAGATGGATTTAGGCCAATCTAGTTTCATTCAGGGTTATTTTCTTTACCTGCCATGGCCAGATTATCTAAAGATACAGAAATGTACATCCGGTCGGATGATCCGGTAGACTTGGTTCCCGAATGTCGTTCCGGTTTAGACCGGTACCCGCCCCTAACCTATCAATTGCAAGGAATGTTCCAGTATTGTGCAGAAGAACTTGCAGTCAGCTGGGCTGTCTGTGTCGAGAATACGAACTGGCACAATCTCACATCATCGCCAACTGGAGAAAGAAAAGAAAATATTGTCAACCACACCGGTTTTGATTAAAGGCATCAAAATGCAGTTTTTAAGGCTTAGAAACCTGTTTTTTTAAAGCCAGTATTCTACTAGTCATTTATCATACTGAGTTAAAACCACACTGTTCCAAAGTATCTTGTTCCTCATGGAGCAAAAATTCCTAAAATTCTGAAAAATGGTTACTGGTAGGGCCCTGGGCTGATTTTTAGGGTACCACCCAGAAAATAAAGGACTCATCTTAGGGCTTGTATCTGCAGTTTTAAATGCCCAAAGTATATGAAATGCTGACTCAAATGTGCTAAATGCATTGTCAATATCACAAAGATTGCCTTATTCAGAATATTTCCAGTTTTGCCACCCTGAAATTACATGTACACTGGATGCCTTTAGAATCATTCTTCACAAGAAAACAGTTTACTACATTTACCAGCAAATAGAAAAAACACTTGGTATCATTGTAGGTTTCTTTAAGAAGACGAAGACGTACCAGATCCTCAGCCTCTGCTTCTTCCATCTCTTCTGGCTCCTCAGAGGGCTTCTCGGACGTCTCAAGGAACTGGAACACAACAAGGAGTCTTATTCTTAGCAAAAGAGTGATAGAAAGAACCATTGGGCACTTGCGTCTTTGAATTCACCCTATTCAAACTCAGGAACTGAGTTGTGTGGCGTAGCGGTAGCGTGTTCGGCTCAGGCTCAAGAGTAACCTGCAGGATTCTCTGTCATCATGAGGAAATGTGTCTGGATACTTCTGCTGTGTCCATGGCTGGTCCAGGCCCAGCTAGGACCAACTCCCACTGGATCCCCCAAAACCCCAACAACTGACAGTTGGACATGTCCCGAGTGTTATGCATGGGATGAGGCTACGCATGACTGTAAATCATGCTGTGTATGCATCAAATACCCACTGTCTCCATTCTGTTCTGCATGTCCGGAGTTCATTCTTCAAGTACCAGTATCTACAACAACACCAGGTCCTACTAGTACAGTATACCCTTGTACTTGCATCGCAGCTTCACGTGAGTACAACATTCATGTTAAGCGGAATTTGTGATATGACCAAAACATGAAGTCATCATTACTTTCAATTATCAGTCCAACAAATAAATCACTTTTCATCAAATCAGAAAAATAGACTTAGAGAATATAAAATTCTGAGAATTAAGGGATCAAATTGGATGAATAGTCTTGATTAATACCTGGTTAATGTACCAGTCTACCTTTAAAACCAAGAAGGGGGAAAAACATGTTGTCAGATTCTCTGTGGTGCCCTGATGATCAAATAATTAAGACTGATAGATCTAGATGAGATGGTAGGAATGAGCTGGTGTAAGCAATGATTGCAATACTGATTCCAAATATTTCACCTGTTCAAAAGTTCTTCTGTGTCCTTTAGGTATTAAACTGATTACAAATGATTATTACTAACAATTTCTGAACATTTTGTGATCTTTCTTGAAGTGCCATACACTATAGATTTTAATAGTTACTTAGAGGACCATTTGATGATATTTTTACAGGAGCGGGACCACCATCAGGATTCTGGATTTTGGTGACTGTGGGAGTTGGTCTAAGCCTTTTGATTACCGTGGCTTTTATAATTTGGAAATTTCGGAAGAGGTGAGAACACTTAATAGATTCACATAAATCTAACAGATAATATTATTATAATATCCCAAGAGTTTTTATGTATGTATATCTAACACAAACACATGTCCACTTTGTTATTCCTTTAACTATACTATACATAATCAATAGGATTTTTTGTAATGAAACATCATACTCATAGAGTTGCTAGAAGTTATGATAATTCATACATTTGTGTGCTTTCTATTTAGCCAGAGAACCAATAATAATTTTACTGAAGTTGCATAATTATCAAACAAGGGCTAAGACTGTCCTTGAAATAAACTTAAAAATGAAACGAATTTCATTAAGCAATTTACAAAAGTGATATCTAACTTTTTTCATGACTATTCTGCAAATGTGCAAAATGTCGGAATATTTATATGACATGAAGTTGTCAGTGTTTTCTAAAACATCAACTAAGCTTCTTGTATTTTTGTACATGGTAGTTGAATCGCCATTTAATAAAATTGTCACAATAATCAGGATAATACGTTGTATTTTCAATATACTTGTCTTTTTGTAAATAAAGTTTTTTAAATATATACGATGTGTCGGAATTTTTCTACGCTATATAAGGTAGTCATAAATTTGGCACAAATGTAATCATATATTTTTTATTACTATACTGAATGAATGAACTTTATTGCTCGACAATCGTACATGGTACAATGTGTGGCAGTAATACAACAATTGTTGGCATCCTTTCATCTCGAAAGATGAAACAATACTACAATACTACAAAACTAAACTATCCTATTACATTTCTTACTACAAACTACTATCTATACTGTATATGAGTCACAATATGTTCATGTATTGATGACATGGTCTCGCTTATGAAATAAAGTGTACAGAAATTGGCCTACGTAAAGCAGATACGCTAGTAGGACATGACAATTATACATAGAATGTATCGTACTGTGTACCAGATTGGGTGAACTTTGTCTTGGTGGTACTAGTCTGCAACATGCTGCATGCTAAAGCTCCACGACTCAAGAACTCAGTACATACGTACAATGTTGATTCATAAATTCCGCAAAAAGCCAACATATGTACCGGCTTGTCGTATACGTCGATATGTATTTCCGCGAATTCACAATACCAGCTTTGTATTCCTGTGGTTTAGTAGCATTTTTATTTTTGGCCGGAATTTTTTTTATTCGCCCGCGCGCACTAGTTTGGGGGTCTTCAGAGGATGTCATCCATAAAATTAAATCGGTGTGGCCTAATGTTATGGTATATGTATATGTACAAGTATATGTATCAAGTAAGGTTTGCTCTCACCGATTCTATTAGTACTATGAAACATTTTATATTTAACAAAACGTCGGCAAATTGTGACTATTATTGACACAACAAAAAGTACAGGGACTTTTGTATGGTCTTCTACAACTAAAGATCTAACAAAGATAACTGCATGTGTGGATAACGTCATCCTACATTTGTACGTATAGAATATGCGGTAACAATAAAGGTTTAAATATTCTCTGACATGTGGTTTCTAAGATCGAAACATTCTTTAATGTATTATCCTATTTGAAATAAGAATATGTGACCCGGCTGGAACTACCGTATATCAGTAGTATGTATCAATTGATAAATCTTAATCTAATTGGTCACTTGTTTGCCCTAAAAATAGTTATTCTGACAATGCCAATCCTTGTGCTGTACTTGAGGTTCATCCTCAAGAACTACTATCTACAATTCCAGAAATGTGCTACTCACACATGCATACATATTACATACATACATACACATACATACACACACATACATATCATACACATACATACATTGTACATACATATTACATACACACACATACATATTACATACACACACATACATAACGTTACATACATAAAAAAACATTTAATAAACTTTCATTCATACATTATCATATAGCCAGGTGGCGTTGACCAATCAGAAGCCCCCATTCCATATTGATTATGACGCTATAATGTCACAGTTAGCATGATACAAGTATTGCCCGGTGTGTTTTATTCTCACAAGTGTGCTTTGTTGCACAATAAAGCACGGCCCGGAGCAAACCATTTGCAGGGGAGTTGACTCTTTTTGCTGACATTTGTAGCTCGTTTCCTTGTTGAATAGAAATGTTTACCGTCTTGTCATCACCCAATTTATTTAGCAATACATAACAAAATAAAGACCATGTCAATACATGTGAATTTTGAGCGAAAGAAAAGAAAACATATTTTGCGCCACCCCCCTAGTAAGTACATTTCTGTATTGAAACATCCAAATGACCTCAGATGACTTCAAATGGAAGCTTGTTCTATTCTTTTGGCCATAACGGTTCTGTGATATAATATAATGATATAATGTGATGTTATATTATGTCATAATTTATTATATCATATTATATCATATTGTTGTATGGTATAGTGTGATATTACATTGTATCATATTATTTATTACTATTATTTATTATGATTGCATATTATATTATGATATCTTATGATTTCATAGTATATGTACCTTATGTATATTTTGAGTTACTTTAGTTTATTGTACTTAAGTTGTCAAGTTGGATGGTTCACTTCTTTTGTTATTTTCTTCAGTTGAATAAAAAAAAACGGTTCTGTTCCGAAGTTCCGGTGAACTCAAATGAACTCTGATAGAACAAGTAAAATCATCACACTAAAGGGAATACAATTTTAGACAATGGTGTGTCATAATTTGTCATAGAAGAACTGATTGAGGCCAATTTAGACTCAATATGTGGGTCCTTGGAATCGAGAAAGATGCACAGGAACAGTGGCCAGCGGACGGGAGGATAGAGGAGTGACTGTAATGGTTTGTTATATCATTTAGATATATGTGTTATACAGGATTGTGTTACTCTCTACTGTGTAAGTTTTGATAGGCTATATGATAATAGCATTAATGGCCCACCCTTTCTCGGTGAATATGGTGTGATAAAGCCTTGTCAGTTGCTATAACCACCTCATAAAGCCACCTCGTTTGCTGTCGCTCACTCGATGGCTTTATTCGGTGGTTATAGCAACTGACAAGGCTTTATCACACTATATTCACCTCGGGGCGGGTCATTAACCCTTAATTCATTCATTCAACGGTTCTAGCTCCATTGGAGTAAGAATCCGTGGAAAAGATATAGCAGTCAACTATCTTACATTAAATGTGAAAAGTTAATTCCATGAGTGGGACTGAGGAACGTTGGCTTTTGTTTTCTGTTTGTATTTATATTTGTATTTTCTTTAAGTCGCGCTGGCAAAACATGTAGCAAAACAGTGCAGCAACACTTTGCCTTCGTCTTGTATTTTTACTTTAAATTAAGAGAGCCCCACATCGTCGTCACTTTTTAAAAGCCTTTCTTGTTGCCACAGCCCCCCTGAAGCAGCGCTGTACGAACTGTCCTACATCTACCTCGGAGCGGTGGCCACGCTCAGCTGTGTCATCGTGGGACTCTTATTGAGGTTCGTAACTGGTACGTGAACAAGGTTACATCTTATACATTAGGTGATTTGTTTTTTCCACTGGGCACTTGATTTTTTGTACATTATGAAATACAAATTATGGGAAACAGGATCTAATTTGCATAATTAATGAGGAAATTTTATAAATCAGCTACATTCCATGATAGGGCTATTTAAGCTTGTGACATATGTATTCGACAACGAGAGAAACATTGGGAGATACTGATTATATAATGAGACCTAATTTGCATTGTGAGAAAATGTTATAAACCCATAGTGGTAACTATCTGAAATCTTATACTTTTGTTTGTGTGAAGGTGAACACAGTAAATATACCTTATTCAAATAACGGCCTCATTTGTATATGAGGAAATGGCTTCTTTGTTCAGATAAGACTGGCATTGGATGGAGAATATAATTCATGCAAATGATCTTATTTGCATAATCATGGGGAATAATGATTATCATTTCATCGGAATGATTTATCGGTCATAAAGGTCAACATCATTTGGCGAAGGTCGTGGAACTCATAGGTATTTCAAGATCCTTCCTCTAAAGATCAGAATTTGGGGGGTCATTGTTGTACATTTCATGACGAGAGTAGTTTTTCTACTGGCCCGAACAGTAGTTACCAGATAAAAGCAATGACAACACTCCCACTGGTAAATCTAAAAGAAACTCAGACTCTTTATTGGCTTAGTCTTGGCCATTGCAGAAACTATGATGTTCTGAAACTCTAATAAACATTATTTTGGAGGGCTATTCCCTCTTTCACTGGACAATTTACTACACATGTATACCGTGAACTGGACAAAGAACTTTGCTGTTAACAAACAGTGCAAATGCAATTACAGCACTACAAAATATTATGTAATCAATTCTGAGGTACAGTCAAATCTATCCAACCGGCCACCCAGGGGACCAAAGAAAAGTGGTCACCTCGGACAGGTGGTCTCCTTGGACAGGTCCTTGAAGAGGATCGCCTCACATCATGACTAAGACAAAAATGGTTCCAATTCGAGATGTTTTAATGTTAAATGTTATGAGTATCTTCAGTTCTGCGGTGAATGCATGTGGGGAGGGTGGCACATGGAACAATTTACGTCGAACAAAAATATAATCCAGCAGTCAAGGCAAACTGGCCGGTTTCTTCATGATTTCTCATTAGTTATCATCAATAATCAACATGATCGAAAATGATGTGGTCACCATTGGCAGGTATCAGACCTTGAGCGGACCCAACTCAGGGCGATCGCGGTCGCGTAAGCCAGGTTGCTTATACTTTTGGAAAATTTTTGTGACCGAGAAAAAGCGGACACCATGGCCAGGTGGCCAGCTTGAAGAGGTGGTCTCCTTGGCACTGTATAGCGTAGCAGTAAGATTTGCCCGAGTGTTGCTACAGTTTATTAATCTTCTTTCTAATGTCGTCCTGTTGCAGTTTGTCCCCTGTCTCAATGGCGATGGCCATAGCTGATTGGTACTGGGATTTGGCCAGGTCCTTCTTTCCCAGTTTCTTGTAAGATTTTGCTATGTTCTTATGTGCTGTTGTCTGTGATTTCTTGTCTCTATCCTCTTGTCTCATCTTGAGGTGGTTTTGATACATGAGCAGGGCTTTGTCATACTCCTTGAGCTCAAAGTGGGCCCTACCGAGTCTATCGTAAGCTAGGCCCTCTTCATGCCTGTCCTTCAACTGCCTGGCTAGTGCAAGGTGCTGTTCGTAATACTGGATGGCTGTACGTGGGGAGTGGATCTGTTCTCTGAACATTTCACCTATCTGGAAACTAACATTCATCTGTTTTCGCTGCTCTTCTGCATTTTGTGATGCTACACGGCTCTCTAGATACTGTACCATTGGTGCACGGTCCACATTGGAATGAGTTTTTCCTTGTGCACCCTGGTCTACGCCTTCTTCTTCTCGTATCTTCGAGGCCTTCTGTAACCACCTCAAACCTGCCTCATGCTCCCCCATTTCGAAATGAGCCATTCCCAATCTCTCGTAAGCCAGTCCCTCGTGATGCTTGTCCTTCAACTGCCTGGCTAATGCAAGAGTCTGTTTATAATACTGGATGGCTGTACGTGGAGAGTGGAGTTTATATTTGTGCATGTCACCCATCATGAAGTAAGCTTTCATCTGTCCATGTTGATATCCTGTCTGCCGTGCCATCTGTAAGGCCGTGTTAAGATGGGATGCTGCAAGGTCCAGATGACCCTGTAAACTGTATACATTACATATTGCCGTGTGTGTTACTATCTGCTCTTTCTTCTCTCCGTCCTCTTGCTTAATGTTCAGGTACTTATGCAAACACTCCAGGGATGTCTCATACTCCCCCACCTCAAAATGTACCAGACCGAGGCTGCCATAAGCCTTCCCCTCTTCATGCCTGTCCTTCAACCGCCTGGCTAGTGCAAGAGCCTGTTCATAATGCTGGATGGCTGTACTTGGGGAGTGGAGTTGTTTTCTGTGTATCTCACCAATTACGAAGTAAACCTTCATCTGCCAGTGTTGATCCCCTGTCTGCTGTGCCATCTGTAGGGCTGTGTTGAGGTGGGATGTTGCCAAGTCTAGTTTTCCCAGTAACCTGTATGCATTACCCACGTTGTTGTGTGCTGTTATCTGTCCTTTGCTAATCTGCTGTTCTTGGCTAATCTGCAGATACCTTTGGAACCACTCTAGAGCTGACTCATACTCCTCCATATCAAAATGGACCTGTCCAAGTCTGTTGCAAGTCACTCCCTCTTCATGCCTGGCCTTCAACTGCCCGGCTAGTGCAAGAGCCTGTTCATAATACTGAACGGCTGTACGTGGGGAGTGGAGTTGTTCTCTGTGCATGTCACCCATTTCGAAGTGAACCTTCATCTGCCAGTGTTGATCTCCTGTCTGCTGTGCCATCTGTAAAGCCGTGTTGAAGTGGGATGTTGCCAGGTCCAGTTTACTCAGTAGCCTGTATGCATTACCCACGTTGTTGTGTGCTGTTATCTGTTCTTCTTTGTTGCCATCCTCTTCGACAATTTGCAGGTTCTTTTGACCCCACTCTAGAGATGCCCCATACTCACCCATCTCATAATGGACCAGTCCAAGTCTGTTGCAAGCTATTCTCTCCTGATCCCTGTCCTTCAACTGCCTGGCTAGTGCAAGAGTCTGTTTATAATGCTGGATGGCTGTACGTGGGGAGTGGAGTTGTTCCCTGTGCATCTCACCCATCCGGAGGCAAACACTCATCTGGACATGTTGATCCCCTGTCTGCTGTGCCAGCTGTAAGGCAGTGTTGAAGTGGGATGTTGCCTGGTCCGGTTTTCCCAGTAGTCTGTATGCATTACCCACTTCTGCATGTGTTATCATCTGTGCTCTCTTATTTCCATCATCTTGGCTCATCATCTCAAGGCTCTTCTGATGCCACTCCAAAGCTGCGTCATTATTCTGCATATCCGAACAAGCACGTCCCAGCCTGTTGTAAGCCAGCCCCTCCATGTCCTTCCTCCTCAAGTCCCTGGCTAGTGTCAACATCTCTGTGTAGTACCTGTGTGAGACCTCTGGTTCCTCTAGCTGTTCCATGTGTAAATCACCCAGCATGCAGTAAATGCCCATCTGTTCAGTCTTGTTTCCTGTCTCCATGGCAACAGCCAAGGCTGATTCATAGTTAATTTTTGCATCTGACACTTGACCTGATAGTGCCAATGATGAGGCCAGGTTTTTGTAAGCGATGCAAACATCAGTTTCATTCCCTGCATCTACTCTATAGATAGCCAGGGCCTTTTCATGGTTTGTAAAGGCTTCAGCTTGGAGACCTAATATATATCACAGGTTACGCCTAGTCTGCTGTAGGCCTTGGCTTGTTTTGTGTCTTCTGACAGTGCCTGAGAACACTCTAACATATTCTGATAATACTGCAGAGCTGACTGTGGGTTGCGTAGTTTTGTCCTGTAAAGATCTCCTATCTGACAGTACAGGTCAAACTGTTTTCCCTTGTCTCTCAGTACTGCAGGTTTGTTAAGTTCAGCAAGGAGAGTCTCTAGTGTGCCCTGGACATCACCCTCGCCTACGGGTCCGAGAAAGATCCATTTAGTGCCTTTAGTCAATTTCATGGAAGCAATAAATTTCCTGGATGTTTTCATCTTTAGATATAGAGCAAATAACATGCAAATACCAAAGGTTGACTTTCCAACAGTGTAAATAATAGAAACGACAGCATTGATCTCTCATCAGCAAAAAATCAGCATAGTCGAAAATGTGCCAAAGACGACTACAGCTGCCCTATTACATTTTTGCATGTGCAATCCTTCTGTGCCACGATATCAGAGAAAGACAAACTAACCCTAACGTCTGCCCATTCTAGAATCTTTTTTACAGCAAGATGCTAAAGACGAAATGATTCCAAACCTGTGATATTGTAACAAAATTGATTAGTCTCGCGAGAACACGAGACTAGGTCGAGACTTGTGCGGATCTTCTGGCCTCCCCCGCCTCCTTGTGGAGTAGGGGTAAATAGGACTTGGGCAGCTCGGAGCTGGAGGTGGGGAAGCCAGAAGATCCGCACATGTACAAGTCTCGACCTAATCTCGTGTTCTCGCGAGACTAGGTCACTCCGCGATCAAGATGTACAGTCGACATCGAAACTTTGGAGGTACGTGTTTCTTTCTTTCAGTCACTTATTCAAGAATATTTTACAAAATGAGCATGCTAGTATTAAATTGTCCTACCTGACGGTGAGTCGGGTCTGCTGAGTCCTGATCCTGGAGTGCCTGTCACATAGCCAGATGAGTCAGAGCTTATGGAGGAAGTCCTCTTTCTCCGAGGTCCCATCAGTCGTTCCAGTTCCTTGATGTCCAGTGAGACCAGTTCTGACATCACCTGTGGAACCTCCGTGTCACCAATGGTCTGATCTTCTGTGGATTTATAATGTTTTCTATGAGTACTGTAAAAATCTATGGATTTAAGTTCACATTTTGACACTTCGAAGCAGCAAACATTCAGATTTACAATTTTGTTTTACCATTTGTTTGTGGTTAGCAAACTTTCATAGCATGAAAGTTCATCTGTGTTCCCTGTCTGTGTTGATGCAAGTCAGAGACGGGGGGCGACACAAGTTATCTGGCACGTATGACCCGCTACTATGGTCACGTATCTCTGACGTCTCGTTCCAAGAGTAGAATTTGGGATAAGTCCCAATTCATTGTAGTGTTGGCAGTTAAAGTTCAGTCTTTATTTCATAATTTTATCTATCATAATGATTATTAATATGACAAGGTTAATCCTCAAATCTCTTTTACCTGTTGTTTCCTGAGCTGGTATAACTGACGCCCCAGCAGGTTTGAGGACAGAGTTGATCTCCCGGACCTCTGTGTCTTCTGGTGTTTCCTCGGGTGTGCTGGCTGTTTGGACAGAATGGTGATTCATTAGATGGTTTGGTTTGGTTTATTGAAGTTGTAACAGCGCAATACACGTGTGAGACAGGCAGCTGTTGTTGGTGTTGTCTCCCACACATAGAAACCAATACAGGACAGACAATACTCATTTTCATTTAAGTGGGGAAAGTCGTGTAAAGTGTCTTTCCCAAGGGCACAAGATCGGTGGCATGTCAGGACTCGAACCCGGGACCTCTTGGTTCCGAGTTGAGTACTCTGCCGTTGCGCCACACGACCTCACTTTCGACATCCCAGATTAGCCGGTAGAAGGACCAATTTTTTTGCAATCAGTGTTGCATTAGACAGTGAGACATCGTAATCGGGTAGCGATTTATACTTAGTGTATTTTTCTTTACATCATGATCCACTATATCATATTTCATGTAATTATTTAACTAGACGTTATGAATGGTTAGTCATATGTTACCTGCTATTTGAAGATTGTCTAGTTTGTTGAGAAGATCATCGTCTCCATCGTTCCTCTGTGTTGGTAGTGGCACTTTGTGGAGGTGTTGTGGTAGCTTCTTCTGATCCAGGTGCAGAACGTCCAACACTCTGCTAGTGGTGCGGGTGTGTGGCTGATAGAGGGGGTACTCCAGGGGTAGTCTTGGCATGAGCTGACCTTTGAACAGCAAGTGGTTGGAGGGTGTTCAGGAATTGTCACATATAATGGTCAAAGAGATCAAATTTTCAGCGACCACTGTCACCTTCCTCAGGATAATTAATTACCAATCACTCACAACGTGATCTCGCGAAAGTTACAGTCACAAACACGTGACCTTATTCACACGAGATTTTACTGATACGTGACGTAAGCAATTGATCAAAAGTGCCAGGGAGTTTATATCGTCCACCGTCTCTATTAAGTGAAGGCTGAAGTGCTCTGATATGTATGGCCTCCTTAATGCCTCTTAGAAAGTAGTCCTGTTCAGTGTCCAGTATTCTAACTTTGTCCAAAGAGGTGATTCGAGCTGGGGTTTTTGTGTTCAAGAAATCTGGCATTAGGGATTAGCCATTAAGGAGGCCATATATATCAGAGTACTTCAGCCTTCACTTCATAGAGACGGTGGACGATATAAACTCCCTGGCACTTTTGATCAATTGCTCACGTCACGTATCAGTAAAGTCTCACGTGAGAATAAGGTCACGTGTTGGTAACCGTAACTCTCTCGAGATCACGTTGTGAGTGATTGGTCATTGCAATTGATTATCCTGATGAAGGCGACAGTGGTCGCTGAAAATTTGATCTCTCTGTAAATTGTGTGTTGGAATAAAGTTCAACGTTTCACTACCAACACAGATGAACTTTCATACTACTAGGTATACATACTACCGTACATAGGTACTAAAATTATCATCTTGAAATCGAAATTTTACGCCTTTCAATGAACGTAGGAGAATCAAAATTCCGATATAACCTTTACCTTTGGCAGCAGGTGAGGTGAGGATGTAGACCAGGGCCTTCCTGAAGTCCTCTATGTTGATGGTTGACTTCACAGAGACGTTCTCAGCACAGAGTTCCTGTAAGGTTTCCTTCCTTATCAAACTACCAACCAGCAGGTCATTGAGTTTTCCACTTTTGTACATGAACCAGAGTTGGCCCAAGCCGCCCAAGTCTGTACATTGCGTGTAGAAGACCAGGCTGCCTGTCTTGACATCTGTAACATTCACGCCTTTGATTTCCTCCAGTTGCTTGATTGCTTCTGCAGTGTCGAGTAGGTCTTCCACTGTTCTGATTTCTGGTTTTACCTGCTCTAGCAGACCAAGAGTTTCGTCTGTGAAAGTTGTGATGTCGAGAGTAACAAATGCCTTCTTTGCCGAGGCATAGCTTAGCAGTTCCTTGGGGGTTTTGACGGTTGGCTTCACCTGTGCAAGTATCTCTACCACGATGGGCAGTGGAGGAGGTATATCTAGAGTACAAAGATGATAAACAAGGTAGGATGCATCGCACACAAAGTACTTTCTATTTGAGAGCATTCAACAGGTTAGCATTTTGTTAACTGAGTTTGGACCTTAAGAGCTCCACATCTTGTAGATCAAGTCAGATACGTTTTTTTAGTACCGCCATGTCGACCTGACATGTATGTGAGGTCGACAATGTTACCCGTTATAATGTATCACATGCACAATTATGAAACTTACCTCGTTTTGTACGTTTCCGGCCTCCAACATTCTCCCATATAGTATCCGTGCCTCTCTTTCTTGTCTGGATTTGAGCTGACTGCTGTGCAACGTTCCCAGCTGCAAAGTGTCCAACATTTGGCACTAGAAGGAGGTATACGTTACGTAGATTGAAAATATGCATTCAGCACATCGTTAAGTATTTTATACAGTGTTAAGCATGCACAAACAACAGGAATGTATGTGTCATGTCATCTTTTACAAATCGATGAGAATCAAAACCAATCATCAGATTTGGTAATCATAATCATTATTAAAGTTTAAGATGCTCAACAGTGTTCATTATATGGAAATCCATTTCTTTTACATACCTTAGAGCTTATTCTTTTGTTCAAATCAGTAAGGATGTTATTAGATGAGATAAGATAAAACAAAGATGTATTCACCTGCATCTGTACAAGCTTTGATGCACTGCTGATGAGATTCTTCCCAGTACTTTGAGGACAGAAGCTTCTTCTTACACCTTGCTGCTGTTTCAAACTCTGTCCTGTTGTGCTTTAGCATTCTCTCGATGCTGCGAGCTAGATATTTCACAGTGACACCTTCCTCATGTTCATCCATGTCAACAATGGAATGATGCAGTTCATCTACATGTTCATGAATGAAGTCTGCCAGCCCAGACTTGCTTGATACAAGAACAGGGACGCCTGCCGCGATGGCCTCCAGGCCGACCAGTCCGAACGGTTCAGCACGAGAAGGCATCAGGACCAGGTGGGCCTGCATCATCTCTTTATAGATGTCCTTCTGTGAGCCGTATGGGAGGAGGGTTATCTGTAGGTTTGCTGACTTACGGTGCTTTAGGATTGCCATGCGTGTTTCAATGTCATCTTTGTCAACTCCCATGACACGCAACTTAACTTTCATCTTCTCTGCTACAAGGCTCAGGGATTCAACAGCAAGGTCATATCCCTTCAGTTTTTCAACACCCTTCACCCTACCGATGGACAGGACCACCATTGTCTCTGTGTCCTTGTATTCAGCCTCTGCATCTTCAAAGATCTTGGGAGGTCTCGGAACAAACTTGACATGCTGAGGCCTCTTGCTGGCAGGTATAGCTCTGAACTGGTTCTCAAAGTGATCAAATATCTTGTTTCCAAGAGAAAAGACCACGTCAGCTTCTTGTGCATCTTCAAGGATGGAGTCTTCCTTCTTCCCGATACCCATGGCCTTCTCATCTCCTTTGTAGTACTCGGTGTCTTCTGGTATGTCAGTGGTGAAGAGGACGACTCTTGCATCAGATGCAGAGTAACGTTCCTGTTTGATTCTCACGGCTGCCCTACTTGTGACGTCGGAGTGACCGACAATGCTTCGGACCTTTTGGGGAAGATTTTGGTATTTGGACAGGTGGTCAAAGGTCAGCCAATTTGGTGATGGGTCAGTCCGACTAGGATCATCTGGGTCAAGTGTAGGCAGCAGTAGTTCTATCCCATCGCGTTTTGCATTCTGGATGTCCTCTTCATTCGCTTTCAAAACTGTCATGAGCACAGGTATTTCTGATTCGCGTTCCCTGAGTATGTCTACCACCTGCTGGTTTAAGGGGGAGGTTTCATCCTGAGATGAGCCATACTCAGTATGGACCAATAGCACAGCGGGGTTTTCTGTAAAGGAAAACATGACCGTGTACACTACATTATTGGCGTGACCATCGAAAACAAATACATGTATTTGCACAATGTTGTGATAACCAAGCCACTTATCATGGGAATATCAGCAACAGCTGTAGCTATAACAGGAAATTGAAATTGAATTAAAAGAATTACATTTTGTTGCCTATAGATTGTTTGCTTTGTCGTTTATATTTTTGTTATTATTTGTGTCAGTTACTTCAATTTGCATTGATTGGAAAGTACATCAATTATAACTTTAATTTCAGACATATTATTTCTATTATTTGACCTCTGATCTCCAATACACTTTTATTTCTCTATGCTGATTTTCTTTCAAGTTTGTCATATTTTCAGCATAATTTGTATGTTTTAGTTATTATCATTATGGCTAAAAGTAATTATCATTATTATTGTCATTTTATTTTATGTGGCTGGACTCCAAGAAGAATAGTATGGAGTTTACCATACTAATGGAGATGTCAAACAATTCACGCCACATTTTAGTTCTACAACTTTGTTATGTTGATTTGACAACTTACTCATATAATCTATATTTTGTACTGATGTTTGTAATAACTAGGCTAATTATTTTGATCTTTCTTTATTTGTTCAGATAGAGGATTTGTATTATTTAATTTAGTTCTTCGAATTGTTTTTTTTTTAATTTTATTTCCTGCTATTTTGTCTTCTGCGTTCTGGTTCATTTAGTAATAAGGGTAATTTATCTTGTAGTATTGGGGAGGGCCAAAGAAACAAAATTTAGTAGCATTGACTTACCCATGGTTGTCCTGGGACATCAATTGATAATTGAACTCATGGCGTCCTGGTGTACTGCTGCTAAGGTAAGACGTACACTGGATGATAGGTAAGAAAATGATGTTAGTG